AAAAAAAAAAAAAAAAAAAAAAAGAGCGTGAAAAGAGTCACATAAGTCCAGCAAAATCTCACCAATATTGATGAGATTTCTGTTGAGACTTTTCCTTTGGAATTTTGTTACGAATCTCTAAAAGTCTCACATTTTTAAAAATCTCATAAAGTCTATCTGATTTGAATATCAAATGACTTATAAAGACTCTCAAAGTGATTTAATTGAATACCCTGAGACTTTTCGATACTTATTAAAGTCTTTAAAAGTACCGATTGAATACAAGTAAACTTTCCAGAAGCCTATAAATTGAATACACCAATATTTTGAAAGTCCTAAATAATATCTAAAAGTTGAAATTGAATACACCTCTAAGTATTACTCAAGTGGGGGTTTAATTCTAAAATCAATTACTCAAGCTGGTGGGTAAGGGCTCAGGCTGCTGAGACATCCTACGTCGGGGTTGCCGGAGTTGCAGGAACGAACAACTCTCACCACCTCCGGTTCTCTGGTGATGGGGACTGGGTGGATCGGGAGCTTCCAAGCTCGGCTAGTGGTGTTAGACGAGGTCGGGTAGTGCTGAAGTGGGGAGTTGGTCTTTTTCTCTCGGTTGGAGGTGGGTCGATTTGAGATGAGTTCGCGGCTCGGGTTCGGCTTCTGTGTAGCGGTTTCGCAGTTTCGATAGCAGTTCATCGGGCTTGGATCTTCTTGGGCCGATTGTTTCTTTGCTGGTTTGGGCTCGTTAGTTGGCTGAGGAAAGGCCTAATATATCGTATTATAGTTATCTAGTTTTCGTTTGTTTAAGTTTGTGTTAGTGTTGTTTTTTGATCTTGTATTTTTTGTTTGGGCCATTTGGTCTCTGTGAGCCCGGGTGGAAAATTGTTATTTTGTTGGGATTCTACACTCAGAAATAATTATTTTATTGGGATTTTTCTTAGTTGTTTTAGTTTTTGTTTGTGATAGTTGTTTCATGTAGTTGCGAGTTTGTTTTTCTAGCATTGCTAGCAGGATCTAGACCATCTTCGGATCTGCCTCCCAGTCTTTTCAGCCTTTAGTTGTACTATTCAACTTTTGACGGATCTAGACCATCTTCGGATCTGCCTCCCAGTCTTTTCAGCCTTTAGTTGTACTATTCAACTTTTGACTGTTTTTTCTTCGCATTTTGTGTGTATTAATATATTATCTCTATCATTCTGAAAAAAAAAAAAAAAAAACCTACTTATAAACTAAGTTGATTCACCCTATGTAATCAATGTGAAAATATCAACAAGGGGTTCAATTTTTAAGAGGCAAGTAATTATTCTTTTAATCACCAGGTTGGTCAAAATATTATTGAGATGAACAAAATATAGAATAATATTTACGTTTTCTTAAAGCAGACTGGCGGAGAGAGAGTTAAGAGACGCTCTATTTTACAGCATCGGCGCCTGCCTGGTAGCTATAAATATTAAAAACTCTTCTTGGCAGGATTCTTGATTTATTTTATTTTATTTTTTTATGGCAGCTTACTCTTTAATCTTTATTATTATTATCCCCATCGGTGGCAGCTATAAATTATTTAATTGTTCTTGGAAGGACATTTGGACACTTGATGTGTGGTCCAAAATTCATGAATAAAACAAATAAATAAATATAATTTTTCTATTGACAGCCATAAGACACTATTATTATTTTGGGAAATATTATTGTTGCGTTACATAATCATTCTATCGGGATTTGTAACAGTTAGATCAACTATCTCACACGATCAGTTTTGCTATGGAATCATCGGATGGCTCGACTTATGGAGTCATTCACCCTTATTCACCAATAGTGTAGTGATATGTATCTTACAATAAATACAATTTGGATAGCTGTCAACACATTAAGTGGTGGATGGCTCCATAAAAAAATCATCCGATGCTCCATACAATTTTCTCCCACGATTACATGATGATCTAACGATTACAAATTCCAACCGAATGGTTCTACAGTAAGACCATATAACATTTACCTATTATATTATTATTATTAGTAGTAGTAGAGTAGTATTTACGTCCAAAATGTTCATCTAACTCACAAATCACTCATAGTATCATTAGGCAAACCTAACCATTGGCTCGTCTATCTTTTTGCTCGTCTATCTTTTTGTTCGCCACTGATGCAGGATTATTATTATTATTATTATTATTATTATTATTATTATTATTATTATTATTATATTTATTAAATAATGGTTAGCTTAGGGAATAAGCTAAGTTTAGGGTTAGAACTTTATTTAAAGGGCAGTTGTGATTTGTTATTAGGAGGTGAATATTTGAATGAAAAACTATCGTGTGTTTCTTTGAGAGAGTATATCTCATTCTTTGAGTATCGAGAGAGTATCTCGCATATCTCGTCCCACTCGTACGTTTCCCGACATCAGTTGGTATCAGACGTCAGCCACGATCGGACGATGCCGCCCACGAGAGGAAACAACGTACCGCCATTGCAGATCGATTTCAGAGGATGGATGATCTGGATGAACGATGCACGGATTTCTCTATCGGTATCGACGAATTACGCCAGACAATTAATACCATGATGGGGGAGATTCACACGAACCGTGACGTGGCTTTGGGCCGTGGCACTCGCGGGGGAGACAGAGGCGGACGTGGAGGACTCGGCCATGTCGGGGCGTCCCGACGGCGGTCTCCGCCGCCTCTGAACGGCAGCAACGATGACGTTTCCACTTGGTCGGTCAATCCTTTTGGCGACCGTCAACCGAGACGTGATGATGGTTACGTACCTGTTCAATGTCGCAACAAACCCCGCAGCAACATCCCCGTCGCTCGTGAGGAAGAACAGGCCCTAGGCGGGGACCGATTCAGAGACCACCGGCGATCAGACGCCGGATTTGCGCTGGGCGGTGACCGAAAGGAGGGCGACACTCTAGAGGCGCCCCGTTTTCACGAACGGCGGCCGACTGGGGTCGATTTCGAGACGCGCTGTGACCGTAAGGACCAGCGTCCAGCCGTTGACTTCGGTGACGGCGGTTATCGCGGCTGTTGGCCCCGCGACCGGTGGAGTACTTCTGCCGATTTGGGCGTTCCGAAGGGTCGCACACCTTTTTGGAGCTACAGGTTTGATGCTCCGTGGCCACGCCATCCCAAAAGACCGGCGACGACTTTTGAGGGGTTTTCTGGCGGCTTTCGGGCTCGCGATCTGAGGAGGGAAGACGGTGGTCGTGGTGCAACCTGGGATGGTGACGGACGCTGCGTCACGGAGTGAAGGCACGGTGGACCAGGGCGCGAACGGTGCTACTCCGGCGTTGGATTTGCTGACCGCGAGTACCCGACGAGGGGTCGCCGACGTTGACGACGGTCGCGGGTGGCAGCAATATGGTCGACGTGA